CTTCTCTTCTCTTCTCTTCTCTTCTCTTCTCTTCTCTTCTCTTCTCTCTCTCTCTCTCTCTCTCTCTCTCTCTCTCTCTCTCTCAGTGTACACCTGTGTATATATGTTAGTGCTTGTTCATCTATGCACATGGATGTGAAGACCAACCTGTATTGCAGAAAAGAACTGTATCTAGTTCTTACCTTGGATCCTAGCAGGCATGTTTCTGATTCAGCCATGTCCTTAGCTCCTACTCCTGGTTAAATTTCTTAGACTAAGATTCAGAGCCTTAGGTAGATATTCAGAATTCATTTCTGTGCTGTGTGTTTACATAATGGATGAGTAGGGGGATTTATTACATTCTATAATAACACAATTTAAACATGAATAAACTCATGATTAAGATTACCCACAGAGGTTATAGACAACTAATGAGGAACAAAATCAATGCTGGTAACTTAGGTTCATCAATGGAACTATTTCTTAGTTAAAGGAGCCCTAAGAAAAGTGACTACAGCTACACAAGAAAATGTATAATTTGGGGAGGAGGCTAAAAAATTCCAAAAAGGAAAAGCAAAAGCAACATTAAAGTTTACTCACGAATAATAAAAGGTGATAATTCAAGAAAAAAAATAAGTTTGAGAAAAAATTAAGAAATTAATAATAAAAATTATTATGAAAACTGCATAGAACACAAGGATCAACCCAGTACAATATTCATTGTCTCTGTCACTTTTTAGGAATATGCAGAACTACAGGAAGAGAATGAAAGTCTTTATTTCAAGAAAAGGAGAAAGTTTTGGGGATGTCTGGTATGCTAAAGGCCTAAAGAGTAGTGCTATCCTGCCATTCAAAGCAGAACTGAAAAGAATGTAGAATTTGGATCAATAGTGACTCTACGTAGAACAAAAATTAAAAATACGCAAAGACGTTCAGTGCAACCATTGAAATCATGTTCACCTTCATATAAGACTGGCTACCAAATATGCCATTGATGTCTTTCCCACAAAAGAGGTACCAGCAGCACCACTTAGAAGAGAGGCCCCTTTCCTGATGATCTCAAGAACACTTATCGTATTAGTAAGTATTGGTGCATAATTAGGAACCCAGTTATCCAGGGATGTGATAGGTCTAAAGGACAGGGATAATCAGCCTTATTTCCTACAATGTAAAGTTATCCATTGTATCAAATATCAAAACACTCAACCTTTCAGCAACGGAGTTATTTGTGGACAGTGATGGTGAATAACCCTATGAACACACTTCATTATAAATCAAGACACCTGCACGAATTTCAGATATCCACAGGAAGGTGGAAGAAGCCATTATCATGACAAGAAGCTGTGTTACAGGTCCATGGACCGAAGAAAGGAATGTTTCAGTTCATGAAGATTGAATCTGTTACATTACTTTTCTAAACTTTAATATTTGATGCTGATTGCATGCTAACATGATGTCAACAAAGATGCCTTTAAATGACTTAAGGTCTACTTTAAGTAGACCTTAATGATGACTTTAAATGATGATGCATAATCTACAGTATCAAAGGTATTTTAATGGTTTATCTGTAACCATAAACGTACTCTACTCTTTTCCATTTATTAGCAGTTATATTTGAAATCCTGTTGATTTTTCCATAAGCAGAATAAAGATTATTTTCCCATTTTTTGACCAACTCTTAGTATTAAGGCATATATCTAAATTTTACTCCAACTACCAGAAGTGCAAAGTAAGTGGTTAACAGTTGTTAAAGGGATCGAGAACTGTTGGGGGCTGTGGCTCAGTGGGTAAAATGCTTGCTATGCAAACATGAGAACAAAATTTCAGAGCTTATCACCCATGTAACAAACCAGACATGGTGGCACTCACCTGGAAGCCGAGCACTGAATTTGGGCAAAGGTCGACAGAAGGATCCTTGGGATCTACTAGTCAGCCAGCCTAGTCAACAAATGGGCTCTGGGTTTAGTGAGAGACCCCATTTCAAAAATAATATGGAGAGCAACTGAGAACAGGGTCAGCACCCTTTGCCTGCAGGACCATGAGAAATCAAGCTGGAATGAAACTGGACTCTTTTTTGCTGAATGATTCTCATGGAAGCAAAAAGAAGCATACAGGGTGCTGAGGAGAGCTGTCACCAACAGCTGCTGAGTTGTGAGACTTCCCTCCTCCAGCTACCAACATGCTATGCAGTATGTGATCACTGGTGCAATAGTGGCTCACTGATTGCCCGTGCCTTCTGATCAGATCAAAGGCCAACTCCACCTGAATGCAAATCTGATACTGAAAGCCAGGGCAAAACCCACAGCTAAAAGGAGCTGGGTCATGGGCCCTACTGAGGAAGCCACTGGTGCAGGAAAATTGTCTGTATTCTGTAAATCATGTTTTAAATAAACCCTGATTGGCCAGGCAGGAGGTGTAGGCAGGAAAACCAGATAGGAAGTGGAAATGATGTAAGGAGAGCAGGAGAATTCTGGGGAGGAGGAAGCTGATTCCTCCACTCCTGCCCAGATCATGGAAGCAGCAGGATGTGATCTGCCACTGGAAAAGGTACTGAGCCACATGGCTAAAATAGATCAGAAAAATGGGTTAATCAAGATGTGAGAGATAGCCAGTAAGAGGCTAGACCTAATAGGCCAATCAGCTTTATAACTTATAGAGTCATGTGTGTGGTTTTCTCTGGGACTAAACAGTTGGGGGGACGGGCAGGACAGAAAAAACCCCAACAAACAGCCCCCCCTCATGTTACAAGCCACTTATATTGATTTTTAGGTGGATGTGATGTCCCTGAGAAAAATTTCCTTCTGAACATTTGTTGGTGTCATCATGGGCACAAGACTGAAAGTGAAAGCAGACAGGCTCAGCTCCTCAGAAACAGCTTGGATGTCAAGAAACCACATGACTCTTGAATGGGCTACAGTCTGATTTGTGCAGTGTGTTGTACATTAGGCTGCTGAAAGGTTTCTCCAAGTCCTGTGATTATGAATATGAATGCTAAACTGCATTTCACAAAATGAACTCAGTAGCAAGCTCCACTGCACAGCAACGGAGATCACAGAGTTCCCGGTAGAACAGAGGCAGGACCCTCAAGTTAGGAAAACAATGGATGCAATGCATGTGGGTGTTTTCTGAGCACAGATGCTGTGCGCACAGCACTGTGGGAGATGTACAGGGCACCATGAAGACTCATTAGACCCAGTCTCTGCCCTAACAGGGTTTACTGCAATGGGTAAAAGGGATTCTTCAGAAGGTGGAAGAATAGAGGAAAGCAGAAAACCTAGACACTAGATAACTGAACAGCCCAAGATCACCAAGTAGAATATTTCAATCTCTTTTTTATTAAAACAATTTTTTTTATTTTATATGCCAAACCAAGTTCCCATCCCTTCCCTCATCCTGCCCACCCAACCTTTCTTCCACATCACCACCCATCAGCTCCTTAGAGAGGGTAAGGCCGCACATGGGGAGGCAATAAAGTCTGGCACATCATTTGAGGCAGGACCAATGCCCTACCTGCTATATCTAGATTGAGCAAGGCATCCCCCCATAAGGAATGGGCTCCAAAAAGTCAGTTCATGCACTAGGGATAAATCCTGGTCCCATTGCTGGTGCCCTCACAAACTGCTCAAGCCACACAACTGTCACCCACATTCAAAGGACCTAGTTCACTCCTATACAGGTTCCTTAGCTGTCTGTCTGGAGTCAGTGAGCTCTCACTAGCTTGGGTCAGCTGATTCTGTGGGAATCCCCATTATGGTCTTGACCCCTTTGCCCATATCATTGCTCCTCCCTCTCTTCAACTGGACTCCTAGAGCTCTGCACAGTGCTAGGTGTGAATCTCTGCATCTGCTTCTATCACATGAAAGTTCTCTGATGACAGTTAAGTAGTCATCTATCTTATTACAGGGGAATGAAGATGGAAGTTACAAAATAATCCCACATGAGCTCAGAATTGCATGTAATAAAGGGTTATTTATTTAGGGGTAGAATCACAGATCACAGACCTCTGCACAAAAGAGGAAAAGGAACCAAATCCAGAAGCCAGGACAGAGAACATGAGCATGCACTTTACATCAGCATTTACAGTATAAGAGGCCACACCCACGTGGGCTGGTATCTTAAAAGCTACTGGCTGAAGAAATTTGACAGCACCTCCCCCTTTTGTTTAAATAAAAGAGCTCTAAGCCTAATATAAAACTACATATAATAAGAACAATTATCAAGTATAAAAATTAGAATTACAACCAGTAAAAACAATCATAAACAATATTAAGCAAGGAACATATGCTAAATGTTTTAATAATCATTCTTATCTAAGGAGTCTAAGTCTTGTATTAGAAAGGACATGACTAAATAATAAGAGGAAGGTAACTGTGAATATCTAATCTTCAACTCCACTGAAGGCCTGAGAAGGGCGATAATATCACTTGAGTAGTCAGCAAATGCAATCAAGCAGCTTCCAAAATGTGCAGCAGATAACAGAGACAACTGGATACCTGGGCAATCACCTGAAGTCTCATTTGCAATGTTGAAACAACCAACTTTGGCTAATGCCTAGATTAGCTAATAGACAATTTTTAGAGACAGTAAAATTTTCAGAACTATCTTATCCTTTCTTGGCAAGGTTTGACAGAAGTTTTTCCTCTATCCAGCTTCAATGTCCTGTCCAGACATTGTGCATTTTGTCAGTGGTTAAGGCATGGGCAGTTCATTTCCCAAAGACCAATTTTGCCAAAAAGAAAACAAACTCCAAGTGGAGTGTCTTTGTTGCTCAACATTCTCTCAGAAATAGACCAGTGCTGCCAGGAACAATCACATCTCATGTCAACAGAACCCTAAGTTATTTAAATGCCATGTTTAAATGCCACTGTTCATTTAATTGGTTGAAGGTTACCTATATTTGCAGAATACAATATCTGTGTATCTAAAGAACCTGATTAGTCTAACTATAAATACAAGAAACATGAATGACTATTGACCTATAATACTTAATGCCTGTATAACTTAACAATCTTAAAAAAACTGTGCAGCAATTGAGGACAATGATCTCAAAATGCAAACAATGTACAAGTATCTTGATCACAGGTAGAAGTGAGTAACACAATATTATAAATATATCCTAAAATTGTTTCAATATACAAAATGTCTTAAACAGACGTAGAAGTATGCATGCATACAATCTGACAAAATAACTGCATAGGTGTACAAATATTGTCAACAGAAATTGAAACATATTTAATATAACAAATATAATTTGAACTTACATTCAATATACAAGAATCTATACCAATGTAAATTGCCTATAAATAACAACTAACAAGTATTCACTCTATTACTCACTATTATTATTAGTGTGATAAGTTCACACTAATCTACCTATTATCCCATCCAATTTCCCTTATTTTTTCAAAGATATCCCTAAGCCTAGATAATTTAATTTCCACCCCAACCCCCAACACTATAGCAGTTATAATCAACCCTGAATTGATGTCCCTAACTAAAAACAAACTTTGTTGGGAGAGGGGACATTGTTTTCTAGAATTTCTTCCAGCTGTCATGAGAGTGATGTTTTTTTCTATGGGATTCAGTAAAAGTAAAATGATAATTAAGTTTCAAGATTACTGTCTGGTATAATTGCCAAAAGTCTCTGAAGAGTGGATACGATTTTTCTGAGGTTCCTGTTTGGAGTTCTGGCCAGAATGTTTTAAGAAGTTGGACCATTTCAGCAAACCAAGTTGGAACCCTCTTGAGCAGCTGGTACCCAAAACCATTATTAAAGTAGGACTGTAAGCATCATGACATCATATCAACCAGGTGGAATTATTGTTGTGGGGCCCATCTTCTTCCTGGAAACTTCAAAGATTACTGCAATAAAATTTATTGTTCTTTGTGGAAAACATAAACATTATTCATATATTCATATATATTCATACATATATTCAGTGAAAGATATGCTATAGACAAAGTAGGTATGGAGAAATGTAAATTTTCATAAGATTTTTCTTCTTTCTGTTCCATATCAGATGTCTCCTGACATAAGACAGAAATTCTAAATTTTTCTTTTAATAACGTGCTTGAATTTAGAGAAGGATAGACCTTGTCTAACACCAAAGCCAGCCTTGATTTTTTATTTCTACTGGGTGTTAGGTATTTATGCATATGTACAGAGAATATATGTATAGAATTTTACACTGCAGATGACCTGTCCTCATAAGTCTTATTCCTCTGTGTTCAGAGATTCTTTCTGGAAAGTTACTTTTTCTTTTTAAGCATACAAACATCCAGGGCCTCTTGACTTTCTGAAGATGTGTATTTTTCTTCAAAGACAAGAACAGTACCCTGACCCAACCTTTATGAGGTTTCCTTACCACCCATATGATTGTCACTTCTGTAGAGGAG